AGGGTTTCAAGGGGCTAAACCCTAAACCCTAAACCCTAAACCCTAAACCCTAGGCTTAGGGTTTAAGGTTTAGGGTTTAGGCTTGAGCTTCTCGAGTTTCAATGCTTAAAACCCCTCAACCCCAACCTTCGAGCCTTGAACCCTTAAAGGTTTTTGAGTCATGGGGCTCTCGGGTTGAGGGCTAGGATTTAGGTTTAGGGTTTAGGGTTTAGGGTTTAAGGTTTCGGGTTGTTTTTTTGGGGTTCAGGGCTTACTCCCCACTTTCACAGAGCTTCCGCGGCCTTCTCAGATGTTTTGGAGGGAGAGGGAGTGTTCAAGAGGTTGAAACCCTAAACCCTGAACCCTGAACCCTAAACCCTAAACCCAAGAAGGAGAACAAACAACTCTGAACCCTGAAGCGCCTGCGCTTCCTCCGTCTCGCAGTCGCGCACCGTGGTGTCCTGCAAGGCTAGCGGGAGCTATCCGGCCGAGGCGAGGCCCCCCCAAACCCTAACCAGCAAACTGTACGAGCCTAAAGATCAGGGTTTAGGGTTTAGGGTTTAGGGTTTAGGGTGTAGGGAGCAACGACACTTGAACCCCTGCGCTCTAAATCAAGGATGTAGATGAGTGTGAGAGCCGTGTGTTGAGGTAGTTGAGGTCCTGGGAAAGCTCTGGGAGAAGCTTCTCCAAAAGGACACGGAATAGGATGCCCAGGGGCTTGGTTCTCTTGCCGCAGAAAACGCAACACCCTATGCTCCGAACTTAAGCAACCCTCAGCACTGACACTCGACACCCTGAACCCTGAACCCTCAACCCCCAAACCCTAAACCCTAAACCCTCAACCCTAAACCCTGCAAGCACTGGACACCTAAGCCCCAAAACCCCCCAAAGCCCATGCCTCCTTCTTGGTGCAGCCTGGCGCTGCGAAGAGCGGATTTGCAATAGCAACATAGAGCTGCGGTGTCCTGGGCTTGCAAGAGGGTTTAGGGTTTAGAGTTTAGGGCTTACAAGACTCTGGGAGGAGGGCTCCCACCCCGGTTTAGGGTTTAGGGTTTAGGGTTCAGGGTTTGGGGTTTAGGGTTTGGGCTTCAAGTGTGGGGTTTAGGGTTTAAGGTTGAGGGTGTAGGGTTTAGGGTTGAGGGCTTCAGGGTTTAGGGTCTGAACTCTTAGGTGGACTTCGTGGCAGTCGGGCCTCGTGAGGTCGAGGGTTGAGGGCTGAGGCCTTCTAAGCGTCTTGGGCTAGGGGCGTGGTGCTCTGAAGCCCTGAAACCTAAACTCTAAACCCGAAATCCTAAACCCTGAACTATGGGTTTAGGATTTAGGGTTTAGGGTTTAGGGTTTAGGGTTTAGGGCACCGCACGCCCTCCCCCAAACCTGCCATGCTCTGAAGCACCTAAACAAAAATGCACTGCAGCCCGTCTTGAGTGGTGGCGGCATCGTGCATACAATGTCAAACCTAAACCTTAAAAAGTCCCAATGGCCCCCTAACAACCGGACGAGGAAGGAAACGAAGAAACACCTGAACATCTTAACCCTCCTCCACCCATTCAAGGTTTAGGGTTTAGGGTCAAACCGTAAGCCCTGAACCCTAAGCCCTAACAAACCCTAAACCTGAAACCTAAACACTAAACCCTAAACCCTGAACCCTAAACCCCAAAGACCGAAAGAAGTCCGGGTGGCTCGGGGAGCAGCTCGCTGAGAAGAACGCAAAGCACCTCATGCTTAGGTTCATCGAGGGTTCAGGGTTCAGGGTTTAGGGTTTGGGGTTTGGGGTTTGGGGATTAGGGCGTGCTTGGCATGGTCGCGCGTTGATAAGCGCGCAGAAGTATAAAGACATGCCCACCCCAAGGCCTCCCAAACACCACACAAAACGGACCCCCCTGCAGGCTGGAGTGACAGCCACCGCTGCTAAGCATGACGGGCCCAGGCCCAAAACTCAAGGTTTGGGGGCGGTTTAGGCCTAAACTCAAGGCAACAGTTCGGGGTTGGGTTCGAGTCAAGGGGGCTTGGGGGGGTCCCAGACCAAGAAGACTCAGGCAGAGGCAAGCCAGGGAGGGCACGAAACCAGGGGGCCCAGGACGGTCCAGGGGGCAGGGGCAAGGGGGCCAGACGGGGGCGGACGCTGCCTGAACTGGGGCCCTCAGAGCACAGAGGTTGGCGCTCCCGGTTTAGGGTGACTTTGAAAGGGACGGGTGCTACCGACCTCCGAACGACCTGGATCCATCGAGGTCTAGGGGCTCAGGCACCCTGAAAGGAATAAGTTTGGGTGGCTTTGCCGCCTCGGACGGCGTGGGGTGGGAGAAAAGTGTTAGATGGCCCTCCACAATCGGGCCAAAGCTGCTCATCGCACCTCACGAAGCTTTCGAGCCTGTTCCGAAACCTGACCTTCACAGCAGCTACGCCCTATCACAGCAAACCCTGAACCCTAAACCCTAAACCCTAAGCCCTAAACCCTAAACCCTAAACCCTAAACCCTAAACTAGGGCTTAGGGTTAGGATTTAATTTGGGGTTTGGGGTTTGTTTGGGTTTTAGGGCTTGGAATGTAGGGTGTAGGGTGGAGAACGGAACCCATGCGCTTGCCCCCGAAGATCCCGGCAACTGCCCTAAAGGGTTGTGCTCTATCCATATCTGTTCCCTTCAAGATCTTCACCCTAAACCCTGAACCCTAAACCCTAAACCCGAAACCCTAACCCTAAACCCTGAACCCCAAGCCCTAAACCCTAGCCCTAAACCCGAAACCCTAAGCCCTAAACTCTCTAAATCCCAAACCTCGCACAGGGGACCCGAGCCGTGGGAAAGGTGCAAACGATGAGCTCCGCCCGACGCAGGGGTTCAAGCCTCCGGCTTGCGATTACGGTTTAGGGTTTAGGGTTTAGGGTTTAGGGTTTAGGGTTTAGGGTTTAGGGTTTAGGGTTTAGGGTTTAGGGTTTAGGGTTTAGGGTTTAGGGTTTAGGGTTTAGGGTTTAGGGTTTAGGGTTCATGGTTGCCCTGAACCCTAAACCCTAAACTCTAAACCCTAAACCCTAAACCCTAAACCCTAAACCCAAAACCCAAAACCCAAAACCCGAAACCCCAAACCCTAAACTCTAAACCCTAAACCCTAAACTCACAGCTCAATCAGGGTCGAGTCTAAGGTTTGGGGTTTAGGTGCCAATGAGGGATATGCTGAAGTGAGGACAGCGACTGCTCATGTTGAGTACATGAGTTCTTGATCGGGAATTCGGGCATGAGGTACCGTATGCATACTTGAAGGTTCATAATACTTACTAACCACTTATTACTGTACTTATAACCCTACTTATAATACCCCTAAATGGCCTTATAGGGGTTATCTCTATTATTATACGTAGGGTTATAAGCCCAGTTAGAAGTGGTTATTAAGTCGCATGAACCTCCAAGTACCTTTACTGCGAGCCAGCAAGAAAGACGCCGCAGCTTTCCCCCGCCTGGCTGGCTGCTGCTGCCTGAGTGCCCAGTGGTGTTCACAGAGTGTGCCCCCTCCTTTTGGAGGGCGATCGCAATGATAGCCTTTGCCATCTGAGAGACGACACCTCGGTCCAGCTGCCGCAGCGCTTTCAGGCTTTGCCTTGGCGGCGCGTGCGTGCCGCAAAGACATCCGCGCTGGCGCAATCTTTGGCCCAAGCCGCCGGCTGCATCTGTACGAGTGCTCGTCACAACGAATGCCCGGGGGCCCGAAGCTGTCAGCTAGTTGGATTCGCCTCCGCGGAGGTAGGGTGCAGCCTGGGATGCTGCAGGTCTTCCCTCCATGTACCCAGCATCTCCTCCCGGATGGCCCATGCAAGTCAGCCTGGTCGACGCGGCCCCAGGTGTGGTTCCTGCAGCCAGGCACGGTGCAGCCAGCGCCATGCAGCAGGCAGCGAAAGCCCGCTGGCCCATGCAGATCAGCTCGTGACACGAACCCAGCAGGCCAACGACTGCAGCCTTCTACAGGGCACCACCTGGCTTTCCTTGGTAGCCAAGTAACCATAACATAAAAAGGGTACCTTTTTGGGGTTGGGTACTTGCTAAGGGAGCCCAGAACCCAACAAAAAAAGGGCCAAAGGGTACCGCTGGGCGACCAAGTTTCTCGGAATGGAGGCCACACCGTCTGCCCGCTGGGCCATGGCTGTCAGCAAGCTGGACGACGGTCCTGGCAAAGCGCCTGCATGACTCGACATTGCCTTACAGAGTGTAGGGTTTAGGGTTTAGGGTTTCGTTCTCCAAAAAAGCCCAAAGCACAAACAAGGTCAAACTCTACGTAGGCTCTTCCTAGAAAACTCAGAAAAAAACCCACAAGAGTCCAACAACAAGACCAACCATCTGTTATGCAAGTTACACTGTCTTGCCCCGTGCCTGGCACACCGCAAGCCATCGGAGCCTCTTCCGATTGCCAGAGCGTGGCAGCCGTGTGCACTGCACAACCCCATCCGTCTGCGTCTTAAAGATTTCTGAAGCTCCTTGGCTGACTTCTGAACCTTCGGCTCCTAAACCCTAAACCCTAAACCCTAAACCCTAAACCCTAAACCCTAAACCCTAAACCCTAAACCCTAAACCCTAAACCCTTATTCTAGTTTCTACAAAAGCCCAAAAGGTTCAAGTCCTAAGAGCCAGCCAGAAGAAAGCCATGGCTCCGACCAAGCAGGGAGCCTCTTCTGCTGCGCTTTCTGTGCCTGCGCGAGCTGCTGGCAGACCATCAGGGCTGGCTTGAGGCGCCTCCGTGTAGCAAGGCTACTCAGGTCCAGGTGGGCGAAGCACGAGCTGGCCAGTTGCACGAACCTTGGGTTTGGGGTTTGGGGTTTAGGGTTTAGGGTTTAGGGTTTAGGGTTTAGAGTCCAAAAACCTTGGTAGGGATTCTGGTAGTATCGGGTATATGAACCCAATTTTGAGGCTCCTTTTATGTCCAAGGAGCTGTCCTAAGTTTGATGAAGGGCACGTGGCACCTGGGAAATCCGGAAGGGTTTGACACGAAGACTGCGTCGCCGAAATGGCAGCAACAGCCTGGATAGCGACTTCTGCGAGCTCATCGGCATCCTCGGCTGCTAAAGCAAGCCTCGCTCTCCGCGCCAGTTTTCGGAAGGCGTCCATCTTGGTCAGAGGGAGGGCCTGCCACTCGGTCGCTTGGGGTTTAGGGTTTAGGGTTTAGGGTTTAGGGTTTAGGGTTTAGGGTTTAGGGTTTAGGGTTTAGGGTTTAGGGTTTAGGGTTTAGGGTTTCGGACGGAGGGCCTGCCACTCGGCCACTGCCGCCATCATGACGGGGCAAAGTTTCAGGTGGGCGTCGGGGTGCGCCGTGCTGGCCGGAGCCGACATATGTCGACTTTCCTCGGATTTCAGAGGAGCAGCCTCGAAATCAAGGGCTACCTTGCTTGCTTAGTAGAGTTCAGCAGGGGACCTATTGCCATACCCACTAAACCCAAGCAAAAAAGTATAGGGGATGTGGACGCGCTCTGCGTCCGAGTGGCTGTCTTCGAGCCTGGACGCTCGCTTGCTAGGCGTACGGACGTTGCCCTTCCTGCACCTTCGGCCTGGCGGACGCCAGGCTTGCTTTCCACCTCTAGTTGCTGAGTTCATAAGCCCCCCAAAAGTGTACACCTTCAGTTTTCTAGGGGTTATGGTATCCCAAAAAGTGCAAAGTGTACTCACTCGGCTACTAAGACCTGGAAAAGAACGCGAATCGCTGCATCCGGTTCAGCTTTCTGCAAGGAAGGCTGCATTTGCTGCACAGCTCGCTGGACGTCGCTGTGCAACTCATGAGCGGATGCGAGAAATACCTCCTCGTCATCACAACGCACTCGAAGTCCGTGGGGCAAGACCTCGGTGACTCGGCCTGCAAGCCATTCTGTCCCCATGTGCCCGGCAGAACAAGCAGGCACAATTTTGGGGCTTCGGTGCTACAATCCCTGCCAATGAAGCTGTGACCCTGCGCGCACTAGCTTACCACGTCCGAAACACAATGTCGTACAAACACATGTATGTGTGCTACCGTATAAAACAGTAAACCCTAAACCCTATACCTTAGACCCTAGACCCTGAACCCTAAACCACTATCATAATTGGGGGACATCACTCCGACCTCAGGAGCCACAGACGCCGTCCAAAAAGTGCCCTGCGGCACTTTGCATGCGCAAACCCCTCAAACCGTGCAACCCTGAATTTAGGGTTTAGGGTTTAGGGTTTTAGGATTCAGGGTTAGGGTTTGAAGTTTAGGGTTTAGGGTTGAGGGTTGAGGGTTGAGGATTGAGGGTTTAGGGTTTAGGGTATAGGGTTTAGGGTTTAGGGTTTAGGGTTCAGGGTTGAGGGCACCCTAAGTCGATCATCTGTATTGGCAAGCTTTCCTATCCTAGAAACCAGGCATGAGATGAAGATTCTCCTGAACTCTACGCCCTAGCCCTAAACCCTAAACCCTAAACCCTAAACCCTAAACCCTAAACCCCTAAACTCCCAAAACCCTAAAGCCCTAGCCCCTGAACCCTGGCTCGTTCTTTGGCCGAGCAAGAAGAGGAATACATTTAACCCCAAACCCTAAACCCTAAACTCTAAACCCTACACCCCAAACCCTAAACCCTGAACCCTAAACTCTAATTCTAAACCCTAAACCCTAAACCCTAAACCCTAAACCCTAAATCCATGGCCTGCGTGGCGCCCACTTCAGCGCGGCGCGAGCTTCGTCCAAAGCGTAGGACTCGCCTGGGATCTTAAGACATGTCAGGGGCTAGGGTTTAGGGTTTAGGGTTTAGGGTTTAGGGTTTAGGGTTTAGGGTTTAGGGTTTAGAGTGTAGGGTTGAGGGCTTAGGGAGAAACCTCCGTCGATCTTTCCATTAAGGGGGCATAGGGCTTGTAGCAGGTAGTCTAGGTTGGGTGTTAGGGGGGGTTTAGGGAGCTTTTTTTTTTTCTGAAAACGCTTCTTCTATGTCGCGTGTTGTATGCTCAGTGCGCTGTGTGGCGTGCGTGCTAGGTTTAGGGTGACAGGCAAGAGGCGCTTGAACTTGGCTATGAGGGTTCAGGGTTTAGGGTTCAGGGTTTAGGGTTTAGGGTTTAGGGTTCAGGGTTTAGGGCCGAGGGATTTCTGGCGGGCGAGATGTGCTGAGGCTCGAACTAGGTTCCAGTACTTTAGGGGGGTCATGCAACGAATTAAACCCTCTAAACACCTGCACCCTCAACTCTCCCTAACCCCTGAACCCCAACCTAAACCCCGCAACCCTACACCTTAAACCCGAAAACCCCTAAACCCCTAATCTCCTAAACCCGATAAAACCTAAACCCGATAAACCCTAAACCCCTAAACCCCACGCCTCAAAACCCTAAACCCTGAACCCGAAACCCTAAACCCCTAAATCCCTAGACCCGTGAACCCTACATAACGAGGCAGCCCCAGGTACGCTCTTCGAACTTGGCCACGTCGACGGCGCCGAGCACAAACTCCTTCGGCCAGAGGCACAATAAGGTTTAGGGTTTAGGGTTTGGGGTTTGGGGTTTGGGGTTTGGGGTTTGGGGTTTGGGGTTAACCCCTTAAAGGCCCAAACCCTCACAGCCAAAACTCCAAAACCCAAAACCCAAACCCAGAACTCTACACCCTGCACCCTAAACCCTAAACCCTAAACCCCACACCCTACACCCTACACCCTACACCCTACACCCTACACCCTAAACCCCAACCCGCTGGGGCTCCGCGAGTGGGTCGGCTGCATCGGCGGCGGCGTCACAGAGCCCTCGAAGTTTGATGGTTTCGGGACTGGGTTTAGGATTTAGGATTTAGGGCTTAGGGTTTAGGGTTTAGGGTTTAGGAGGATTCAGATCTAATTGAGTCTAAGGTTTCTAGGGCTGGGGGCGATATAGGGCTTCTAGGGCTTATGGGCTTGTAGCGCTGCTTGGTGTTTCGATGTAGGGCCTGCGCGTTGACTCTTGCCGGATCAGGGCTTGGGTTTAGGGCTTGGGGTTTGGGAAGCCCTAAACCCTAAACCCTAAACCCTGGGTTTAGGGTTTGGGGTTTAGGGCTGGTGTCCTTGCTTGCAAATGGCGGGGGGAGGAGGCTGCGCCGCCCCCAAGCCCCAAGCCCCCCCCCCCCCTCCCGCATTTTACCCTAAACTCCATTTAGGGTTTAGGGTTTAGGGTTTAGGCTTAGGGTTTAGGGTTTAGGGTTGAGGGTTTAGGGTTTAGGGTTTAGGGTTTAGGCTCCAATAATTGCGACACAGTCGGGAAAACGCGCCCGAACGCATTCAGCCACATGATAGGTCGGCAAAGAACGACATACCGTACCACAAACTGCTCGAGTTCTAGGTTTACGATTTGGTATAAGAATTCAGGGATGTGGTGTTTAGGGTTTGAGGTTGCGACCCGAATTGCTCCTGGGAACACAATTCAGCATCTTTCTCAAGCTCTGCAAGCGTCGATGGCGCTGGATGCCGAGGCCGGCTGGCGGCTTGCTCTCCAGGTGGCACTCCAGATGCCACCACTGCAGCCAAGGTTAAACCCAAAGAGGGTTTGGGGTTTAGGGTTTAGGGTTTAGGGTTTAGTAGCTCCAAGGACGCAATCTGTCGATAAGCTTCACCTGCCAGGAAGACCCACGGCGCAGAGCCGCTCGGAGAAGCACCGGCACTGCTTGGTGTCCTCAGAATCCAGCGCCCAGCCCGCGATCCAAACTTCCTGTTTGGGGCTTAGGGGGTTTAGGGTTTAGGGTTTAGGGTATCGGGTTTAGGGTTTAGGGGCCCTTAAATGGGCACCGCTTCTTGACCCCTCATGTACCCCGTAAAACCCAAGGGCCCATACTTCAGAACCCTTTAAAAGAGGTAAGGGGCTGTATCAAGGGACCATGTAACTTCCCTTCCAGGGTATAGGGTACTAGGTTCCTATGGAATTTAGGGTTTAGGGTTTAGGGCTTTCGGCTTTTAGGGTTTGCTATGTTGGGGTGTCGGGTTTAGGGCTTCGGACAGGTGCCTAGCAACTCGCAGCGCATGGCGCAGTGGTGCTCGCTCCTTGACCGGCGGTTGCGGCTGAGGGCTTAGGGTTTAGGGTTTAGGGTTTAGGGCTTAGGGTTTAGGGTTTAGGGTTTAGGGTTTAGGGTTTAGGGTTTAGGGTTTAGGGTTTAGGGTTTAGGGTTTAGGGTTTTTCAAAGGGATGTCTTATGGGGAAAGAGGAAGGCGGGGTCTTGAAGCCCAAACCCTAAACGGTCCATTGCACAGGGCTCCAACGGGTGTTGCAACTCTGAACATCTCGAATTTCCATGACGTGGTTTAGGGTTTAGGGTTTAGGGTTTAGGGTTTAGGGTTTAGGGTTTAGGGTTTAGGGTTTAGGGTTTAGGGTTTAGGGTTTCCTACTAATTTGCGGGTCGATACTTGGGGTCCCTTATTATGTCCCCTCTTATCGTAACCTCCCAGATCAAGGCCCGAAACTTTGCCCCTAACCTCACCTCAGACTTACAAAGCTCACCGACGAGACGGTTTAGGGTTTGGGGTTTGGGGTTTGGGGTTTAGGGTTTAGGGTTTAGGGTTTAGGGTTTAGGGTTTAGGGGTTTAGGGGTTTAGGGGTTTCGGGCATCAGCTTTAACCCTTAACATGTGACACACTTGCAGCCCACGGCCTCAATTGCCTCAAGCACAGCCTGAAAGACGCATTGCTGAGATTCCTACCTTGGGGACGAAATGAACCCTACCCGAAACCCTAAACTCTAAACTCTAAACCCTAAACCCTAAACTCTAAACTCTAAACTCTAAACCCTAAACCCTAAACCCTAAGCCCTAAACCCTAACCCTAAACCCTAAACCTTAAACCCTAAAAAATGGGGTCATATACCCCGACTACTATAATTTCGATTAAGGTATATGAACCATAAACCCTTTTAGGGTTCATTTAGTCCCCGAGGTAGAGCTGGACCGCTGATTCGTAGCAACCACCACCTGTATTTAGGGTGTAGGCCTAAGGGTTCTGGGGTTTCGGGTTTTAGGGGTTTACGGTTGAGGGTGTAGGTTTTCGGGTTTCGGGGTAAATCCTCAACCCCCTGAACATCCGAAATCCTGAGCCCTAAACCCGAAAACTTCCTGAGGCCCTACCCACACCATAGTCCTGGACCCGACCCCTAAACCCTAAACCCTGAGCTCTAAAACCTGTGTCTGTCATACGCACACACACACACACACCCGAAACACAAAAACAACAAACAATCACGTTTGAGGCTTAGCGTTTCGGAGCTGGGTGTGATTTTTAGAGCTGAAGGACAATTCAACTCTAAACCCCAAGAAAACCCTGAACCCTAAACCCTAAACCCTAAACCCTAAACCCTGAACCCTGAACCCTGAACCCTGAGCCAAGTAAAAAAGCATTGCGCGCCCAGACTCCCTGCGTGCGAAGGGCACGGGTGACCCGCGTACTCCACTCGAAAGGGCGCTCCTGGAGTACTTCGACTGGGAGGGTGTAGGGTTTTCAGACTAGGGTTTAGGGTTTGGGGTTTAGGGTTTAGGGCTTAGGGTTTAGGGTTTAGGGTTTTCAGATTAGGGTAAGTATATGTGCTTTTGTCGTGCAACCTTTGTCGCCTAAGGTGTCAAAAAGTCGAATTAAGCCCTAAGCCCTAAGCTTACTTCTCCTATAGCCAGGCGGAAAAAGGTTAAACTTTAATATTCGTACTAAATTGGGAAACCCATTTAAAGTTCAACTAAAGGTGAGGTAAGTAAACAACCCGCCTGCCAGGGTTGAAGGGATGGAACTCACAGAGATCAATAGTCTGCGGATATGGCAGAGGGGGCAAGGTTTAGGGTTTGCCGGGTTCATACGGTTCAGGGCATAGGGTTTCGGGTTTAGGGTTTAGGATAACCTCCTAGGTCCTAAACCCCACACCCGAAACCCTGAACCCTAAATCC